TGCAGCTGGCGACGCCGACTACGACGAGGTAGCAGCCGGCGACGGCGAGACTGGGGTGCCGGCGCGGCGGCCCCCACACCAACGGACCCTCTTTGTGGCCAATTTCGCCCTCGGTGAGGAGCCCGAGGCGCCCTTCGGCCCCTGCCTCAACCTCAAGGACTTCGACGCGCTCATCCTCGACCTCGAGCGGGAGCTCACCAAGCAGATCAACGTCTGCCTGTGAGACCGGCGCCAGCACCGGTACCGGTGCCGATACTGGCGACGATGACAACACCGGTGCCAATGTCGACACCAGTACCAATGCCAATACCGGTGACAGTGCTGACACCGGTACCAATGCCAATACCGGTCACAACGCCGCCACCAGTGCCAGTGTTGACACCAGTACCAATGCTGATACCGGTGACAATGCCAACACCAGTGCCAGCATCAACACCAGTACCAATGCCGATACCAGTACTGATGCCGATACCAGTGACAATGCCAACACTGGTACCGGTGCTGATACCGGGTGACAATGACACCACCAGTACCAATGTCGACACCAGTACTGATGCCAATACCGGTGACAGTGCCGATACTGGTGACAATGCCAACGCTGGTACCAGTGCTGATGCTGGTGACAATGACACCACCAGTGCCAACGTCGACACCAGTACCGATGCTGATACCGGTGACAATGCCAACAGTGGTACCGGTGCCGATACCGGTGACAATGACCACAGCAGTGCCAACATCGACACCAGAACCGATGCCAATACCGGTGCCGATGCCACCACCGGTGCAATGCTGATACCGGTGCTGAGGCCGACACCGGTGTGACAGCGACCAAAAAGCAGCACTTGCCTCTAGTTGCCTTCAATTTGCACAGCGCCGAGCAGGAGGGACCCCAACCGCAAGGGTGATGCAGCCTTCGGTGAGGGGGAGGCCCCCCCAAAACAGCCCCAGCTCCAGTTTCCACCCTCCCTGGTGTTTTTGGGGGGGGGACAGAGAAGGGATGTGGGGCTTGGTGCCTCTTGCTCGGCTTTTTTTTATTTTACATGGCCAAATTTTGCCCTCAAGTGCCTGTTCGCCCCCTTCTCCCTTCCCTGGTTGCCCCCTCAGGCTTCCCCCCCCCCAAAAACCTCCCCAGTATTAGAAATATTGACAAGGGTCCACGACCTACATTGCTCAGGCTCATGGGGGGGCCGCCCCCTCCCATGCTCCCCCAAACCCCCTTCCCCGCTGCATATGCACCCCGAGGAGGGCGACTGGCCCTCAAGTGCCTGTTCGCCCCCTTCTCCCTTCCCTGGTTGCCCCCTCAGGCTTCCCCCCCCCCAAAAACCTCCCCAGTATTAGAAATATTGACAAGGGTCCACGACCTACATTGCTCAGGCTCATGGGGGGGCCGCCCCCTCCCATGCTCCCCCAAACCCCCTTCCCCGCTGCATATGCACCCCGAGGAGGGCGACTGGGCTCCCTCCTGCCA